TGACATCTCATTGTTAAATGTTTATTTATAAATCCATTGTACATACGCAAATCAGAGATGGGAACCAGCTTCCTATGCACATGGGAACGCTTATTTGAAATGACTTTACCTTTTTAATTTTACCATGATTGTTTTGAAAAATATAATTGAAATGATAAATGGAAATACTCTGACAGGAAGCGGACATAGCCTCAGGGCTGTATTTACTTAGTTTTACAAAACTGTTCCAACTCCTTATTGTACCATTGGTGTTTGATCATAGATCTATCAAACCCATTGGATTAATATTAATAGTATTAACGCGCTATAAGATCTACCGATAGAAACTATGTTATTTCTTTTAAATCACTTTTCTGTTTGAAAATTACAGATTTTGGTTAAGTTTGAACTATTTTGGAATTGTTTTTGACTGTCAAATATCATATTTTTACGCTTATCCCCGAACGACATTTACGATATCTCTAATTCGAATTTTTTCGATTTTTTTCGAAGAGTCCACAATTTAGTTATCATGTTAAATGACATTTTTACATGCTTGTAGGTTCTGGAACAGAGCAAATATAGTTGTGTGTTCCAGTACTTTTTTAATAGTAAAACTAGCAGAAGAGAGAACAGTACGAAATGCCATTCTCATTTAGTTGGCTCAAAATCAACATTCAAAATTCCAAAAGAAAACAGTCTAATCGGACTGGTGAAACTTACTGAAAAGGACGCCAAATTTAAAAAAATTAGTATTGAAGCCTTAAGTTAAAATTAATAATCTATAATAATATTAGTAACCTAATTCCTCATTCGGCGAGTCCTCTTCAATGCTGGAGTCATTCAAAGTGAATACATCAGTTGCTTCATATTTTCTTTTTTGTTTTTTGTACGACAAATATTAGTTTTCCTTTAGTTTTAAGTTGATATTTTTCTTATTTTGTTGTGATGGTGCGAACATTGGAATGTACCAATACATTTTTCAACCTTGTTAGCCCTGCCAATTAAATATTAAATTTACAATTTGCACATTTCTGCTCGACCAAATTCAAGTAGCTAAAACAAGCAGAAATGTGCACACCCGCGCCATTTTTTTACTCGAGAGAGCTGCAAGTTTTGCTAGTTTTTGGAGTACGGGAACGCATTGTAGCAGAATAAGTACTAATTTGTAGGTTCTGGAACACATCTAATATAAATCTATATTGGTCTGTTCCAGAACTACAGAGTGTAATGCTAAGTTCACATGGTGCGTGATTCGCTCTCTATTCCTTGTTCGACCATTAATTAAAAAAATTAATTAAATCCCCACACAAAATTTTATGAGCGAACAAAGATTTTTTTCTTTGTTCCATTCAAATCACTCTCAGTACTAAGATGCAATTTGTACAATGAAATAAAGGTAACTTCATTTCAAATCTGGAAACAAAAGATGCAATATTTTCAAAATGTTCATATCGGCAGAAAAAATGTTTGACAAGTGTCTCTCCAGCTGAATTTAAAAATAGAAAAATACAAAATACTACGATAACTGAATCTCCCTTTGTTATATCGAAACAAATTGCAAAACTAGTAGATTCTTGCAGGTACTGGAAAAGAACCTGTTTTTTTTTTTTGATATCATAAAAGGAAATTGGTTATCGTAATAACAACTTTTATATTCATGCAGTTATGGAGCTGAGCAATTATGTTTCATTCGCTTATAGTCCTTTTTATTATTGCCAGGTGATTGAAATTGTAACTTCTAAACGTAAGCATAAGCGGGAGCACAGAAAGACAAAACTCACTCATTTCAAATTCCACGAAAGATGACTACGCAACAGTGAGACGCTATGACGATGACATTGTTATTAGCCTAAGCATACCATGGGGAATCTCCAAGAGTGTGTGAGTCATCGTTGAACCACCTAATAGTTGTATACCGTCTGTTTGGTGACGTACAGCATGACCACTTTTGCTCTGCATTGGTTTGCTCTCACTCAATTGTATGAGTTGGGACGCAACAAAATAAGAAATACTACAACTTGTGGGATTGAGGGTTACCCTTTATATTTCAAACACTTGTGAAACATTTTGATTTTAACGATAAAGTACCTTTACATCAATAAATGTATAAGGTATTGGATTGCGAAATGCTTTTTAATTGTTGGCTTCGAAAATCAAATAGTAACATAACATTACAAATCGTGAGAATAATTATTATTTTACCTTTGCCGTCAAGGTGGCCTGTTAAATTTTTTTCTGGTGTTTATGTCAATATACACCTTCGTATTTAAAACAGGAGAGTTGTTCATACAATGTCGGATGGTTTTGCTTTTTTTCTTTTAATTTTGTTCATTTGCCAGATCAGTAATATAATTTCCGAATAAAAAATAATGCAACAACTGATTATTATAATTAACTATTTACGCATAATGGTATAAGTGGCATAATTTTGTAAAACTAAAACCAAATTGTTTTATTTTGAAGATTAAACTTGCAAAGAAGTAAATTATTCCTTATTTCGATCATTTTCTTTTTTGATTTTCTATACCCTCCACCATAGTATGGAGTTTGTCATGCCGTTTGTAACACCTCGAAATATACATTTTAGACCCCACAAAGTATATATATTCTTGATCGGCATGAAATTCTATGTCGATTTAGCGATGTCCGTCCGTTTGTCCGTCTGTGGAAATCACTCTAACTTCCGAACGAATTAGATTGATTTTACTCAAGTGTATATCATGTCTGCAGAACTTTTGGTATTGAAAATGGGCCATGTAGGTCCACGTTTTGGTATAGCCCCCATATAACGGTACTTCCCGATATTCGGTATTTGATAATTTTAGCGACAATATTCATCAGAGCTCTTTAAAAATTGGTATTTGATGTTCGTAATGGGTGCTACAGCCTATGACAGCAGTTTGTCTGTGTAGGTCCACATCCTCATATAGCCCCCATATAAGGGTACCTTCCGATATTCGGTGTTTTGATGATTTTAGCGACATTATTCACCGGAATTGTTTCAAGTTGGTATTTGAAATTCATAATAGATATCTTAGCCTAAAACAGAAAATTGTCTGTGCAGCTCCACGTCTTCGTTTGGCCCTCGTATAACGGTACCACCCGATATTCGGTATTTTGATGATTTTAGCGACATTATTCACCGAAATTGTTTTAAATTTGGTATTTGAAATTCATAATAAATACTTCAGCCTAAGACAGAAAATTGTCTATGCAGGTTCACGTCTTCGTATAGCCCCCATATAAGGGTACCTCCCGATATTCGGTGTTTTTATAATTTTAGCGACATTATTCACCAGAATTGTTTCAAGTCTGGTATTTGATGTTCGCAATGGACGCTACAGCCTATCACAGCAGATTGTCTGTGCAGATCCACGCCTTCGTAAGGCCCCCGTATAACGGTACCTCCCGATATTCAGCATTTTGATGATTTTAGCTACATTATTAACCTTTTTTTCTAAGTTTCGCATTTGAATATTGTAACGGCTTATGGCAAAAGTCCATGTTTTAAAACTACATTTTACGTGCTTTGTCTCTTTTTGTGGTGATCTCGTTGTTTTAATTTTGACGTTTTACGTTTCACTTTTGTCTCGCAATGAGCTGTATACATATACGTAACCACATACACAAAATTTCTACGATTATTGGTCTGTTCCAGAACTGCAAGAGTTTAAAACGTTTAACTACGATAACCGATTTTCCCTTTTTGATATGATCTAAATTAGGAACAAAATAGCAATTAATTGAATAAATGTTTGAGCTCGAGGTCAGATTCCTATAAATACCTTCTTTATTTATATCGACATTTCACAATTACTTGAAGAAAATTATACAGGTTAATATTACATATGATATACAATAAGCCTGTTCGTTTGCTTGCCCAGTAACGTTTAGTCAGTAAGTAGTTGGTGAGGAAAAATACGATTTGCAAAGGGAAAACAAATAGCATTCTGCAAAACATTTGTAAGATAAAAGCTGATCCATAAAAACAACTGTGACGCAAATCTTAAAATAGCTCATAATCCGCTCTTAAATTATTTATTTTTCACCTTCACTCAAATTTTCCTTATCCATTTTTGTTAATAATGTAATAACGTAAAAATCTGTATAAATTTTCGAGAATATTTCATAGAATAATACAGGTAGCAGCAAGTGTCGTTGTACAATAAACGTAACAACAACCACATACAAATTTGTTTTTGTACGTAATACAAGTGTCAGAGTTATATGTCGAAAAATGTAAACAAAACAATTAATTTTCAATAAACCATTTTTATTTCAAAAATGTTGGATAGTTAAATTTAAAATGCAGGGGAATAGCTCTTAAAATATTTAATTGTAATGCTTTCATATCATACCCCTGAATGCATTGTTTTTAGTTGTGGGTCCAAATCCCTCAACACTTCAAGCAATCGCTAGAAAATCGTGGAAAAAGCAACATCCCTTGCAAACTGAAATAAAATGCATATATACATAAAGTATTCTACATTTTGCAATTTTAGGAAACATAAAATATTCGACTGTTTTAAATTATGTTGTGCTGCGAAAAAAGTGTCCGCACAATCGCCGGTGGCGTTTGGTTAAGTATAACAGCGAATTGATCTATTATTAGGCAAAAAATATGGTCACATTGCCCCGCAGTGGAATTTAATACCAAAACAGTGAATACCTATGGTATGTCAAGAAATTAAATCACAAAACGTTATATCGAACTTGACACTAGAATTACTATAGAGTCAAATCAGCAGGGGTTTGCTGCTACCTGTAATAATAGTACCATGAACAGCTATCAACATTTTCCTAGATATCATTTTCCGCCAACTCATTTTATGTGCTGATTTGGAGGTATATAAAAAGAAAGCACCTATATTTACGTAAATGTGGCAACAGTGGCTACGGTCTATACTTATCATTGTTTGAGAGACTACTTATGAATGAATTGTATCCAACGAGAACGTTCACTGATCATTTCATTGATAAATTTCTTCTCTCTTTCTCTGCCGGGTAAACAACGTGTTTGTTTGTGCTAAGAAATCATATTCGCTTGTGCAACCCACCAGTGAACACGCACACGGTTCGGTCGTCGTCGACCGGCGGAGAGTCGTCGTAAAAATAAATTTTTTTCGCTTTGTAACGTCTTTTCGTGCTTTCAGTCAAATATAAATCAAACATAAAAAATAATAATAATCGTTCTTCAAACATTCAATAATTGCAATACGTACAGATACGCTAACTTTGGTCAGAGCGACGGCCACGACGAGATACGTAGATCGGCCAAATCCGAATGACCGTGTATGATTCATACCACCGTGAGAATGTCCTACGTCCATCCGTAACGCAAACGTCGTTTAATTCGCGGAATTCCTAGCCACATTAGTGTGAATCATTCCCAGTAATTTTGTGTTGAACAATTTTAACCAAAAATGCCGGTTCTATTCTCATGATATATATATGTGTGTGTGTATTAAGGTGTCAGAGTAGTGTGAACTTTAGTGAAAAGTTAGCGGCATTGAAAATAAGAACGACAGAATGTCAAAATCCTGTCCACTGGAATACATATTCAAATTGAAAAATATGACTTTCAATATTTTCGTGAATAGTGAGAACTTGTTGATGGTGGTCAGTATTTGTAGTTTTTACATCAGAAAATATATGGACAACTCGTTAATAGGCCTGCTTGAAGTTCGGTTAATATCAATGCATGCCGATTCTGTTGAAAGTGAAATAGAAGACCGGCGCGAAACGTCAGATGTCGCTAATAAAAATGCCATAACTATCACTGAATATAATTCCACTAATGAAAGTATTCTGAACGTAAAACCTACTTGCCATAGTGCCCGCATAGAAACTGTTCAGCCGACTACCCCCAGCGAGTGCAGCATCCAGCTTAATAAAACTGCACTATCTGGACTACATGTTTTTCTTCCGAAAAAATCACCTGCGAAAAAATCAGATCCTGGAATAAGGATTCGAGAGCATACACCACCTCCATTATCACCCGTGGAAGTTCCAGTAGATCCACGTGTTTGGGAGGCCAGTCACATAGCAGCTTGGGTAAAATGGATGACGGAACAATTTGATATTGAACCGGAGCCGGACATATCTAGGTTCCCAACATCAGGGACTGAACTTTGTGCGATGAGCCGAGCTGATTTTTGGGTTTGTGCAGGTTCGCGGCATGGAGGTATTCTGTTCGCCAAGCATTTTGCTTGGACACTTCACAATGCCACCGGCAGAGAAACTAGCCCAATGTTAAGCGATAATGAACCGAGTAAGTATATCAAAATGAAGCAGGGTATATTTTAGTTCGCCAAGGAGGCCTACTACAATATACCCGGGGTTGACATTTTGAAGTTTATTTGAAGTTTATGCTGTCTCTATTCGTTGTTCCACCATGTCATTTTTCAAATGAAATTTATTTTCACAGCGTTACCTAAAATTCGACGTAGCGTGCACAAATATTCAACTTCCCCAATTTGTTAAGTTTTTTGGGCATCCGTATTATCTTAATACGTCAGGACGTTCATATCTTTAAATCGACCAACAATAAACGTCTTAAAAAATTATAATTTTCAAATTTATCTCAATTGTTATATTTTCCATTTTCTTCATATTTTTTGTATAATTCTTTACTTTTTTCAACACACAAAAAAGGAGTTGTCAGTCAAAAGAGCGTTTTATGTATTCTCACCATTATTCAGGTGCATGTACTCTATGTGTCGGAATGTAATTGGTAGTACTATGAAGTTGTTGAAGGTATAAAGAAGCATTCCCTGAAATTGTGATTTAATTATATTTCTTAATGCACTTGCAGGAGTTCCTCAACTTTATATTCAACTCCAGCACTTTCCCATCCACCACCTCACAATACCACCCCTCTACACATTTGGAGAGAAAACAATGATAAACAAGAGATAAATGCACAAAAAGTCATGACATGCCCTGGCTCAGTGACCCCTGCTGTTTGTTTGTGATTCCGTTGTTTGCCAACGGAATTCAATGAATCTGTTTCCCCTCTGAAGCATCCAGGGGATTACTGTGATTTTTATTAGATACCACATCCTGTGAGAAATTATCATATTTACATCGTTTATTACAGTTCATCACTTTAGCTGTTCGAGGCATCCCATTCCTTTCGTTGGAGAAGTTAAGCTAGCAATGCGTGCGGCGAACATGTTGCGAGGCTTTGGCGGAGTGAGTTATTTATACTCGGAAATCTTTTATTGCCTTCGTGAGACGAACTTAAAAGTTAATAACTTTTAAACACCTTTGAAATGTTGTTCCGCCGCGTAGTGTGTTTTTGGGTCATAGAGGATAATCACACCCCCATCAGCAATAGAAGTTACTGAGAAAACCGGCAATATGAGCCATTTCCACCATTATATCTTAATTCAATTTGATATATCTTTAACAGAGCCCATCGCTTGCAAGCTCGTTCAGACACATTGTGAGTATGTGTTGCCCACCCACCCCTTCCCATTTTCGCACTTATATACGACCGAATAGGAAGTTTCTTATCACTTAATGAGGAAATGTTTTTGTTTCGTCCATTTTCAAAAGGATGCGAAATCAATGACCTGTAATATATTTCAAGGTAATCGGAATCCGAAGATCTTCACGTACACACGGTAGTGTATGCGAGGGATGGACATTTGAGACCTGCCAGCTGACCGCAAAGTCAATAAGTCTTTGATTTCGAATACTCTTGGGCACGATTAACGCCAAAGTGGCAACCAAATAAAGATTTCAATCGAAGCTGCTATGAAAGGGCATTTTACAATCTAACTCTTTTGAAACATACATACAAACTGGGCAGAGACCGAAATGAAATAGAGTGTCGAATAAGAAAATACAGCCTTTATTACGGAGTGAACACCCAACGTACCAAAAATAATAAATTTTGATTATTCTAAGCGTGTAAGATTATTCTCAAGCTATTTTGGTATGTTGGGCAATTTGAAGTGTAGAAAAATAGTGCCTTCAACCCCACAAATCATATGGCTTGAATGTTCTTCCAGTGAGACTCACCCGATTTACTCATTAGGGTTTCGGGAGTATTAGAACGTGGGTTTTCAAACACCAACGGTAACACCGCTACCTAAAACCTGGCGTACGCCTTCGACGTTTTTCACCACTGAAGTTGAACACATGTATTGATATGAATGTTATTGAAATACGTCAATGTTGAACAATTTCAACAATGATTGAACTTTGTTTTATTTTCGTGTGTGGAAAATACAAAGGAATTATGAACAAGATGTGGAAATGTGGTGCAAATAGAAAATTTAAAATATGCATTTTTTACTCTTTTTTAATTTTCAGTGATCCTATTAGGTTGTCTTGAAGGTATTGAGCTTGTCTATTTGGGAAATATGAATCATTTCACCATGGTGGGGAATTTCTAATAAAATCACAGTAACTTCATTTCACAGCAAAATTGGATTTCAGTTGGGCTAGATAATATTATTTGAATTAAGAATCATATGTTTACAACTTATTGAAACTTATACCTTTGGCATACCTCATTGTCGAAATGTATATTCATAAATCCATTGCTTATACGCAAATCAGATATGATAATCCATTGTCCTTTGACATGTTAATTTAATTGCCAAATCAGCAATAGCACCGAAAATTTCAGCCTTGCCTTGCATCAATGAGCTGCGCCAAGAAGTAGCAACACATTACAAAACAAGTAAAAAAGCCGTATGTTCGACCGACCAGTCGGAGATTCTTATGATATTAATTTTTCTAAAAATTTTAACGAATTTACATAACTTTTCATTCAAATTTGTTAATTTCAAAATTAGTTTGACAGTTTATTGTCCCAGCAGCTGTATTGATGTGACTACCTGTATTCTTCTACCCTGTTATGTACCCTATGTACTTGCAGAAATTATCAAAAAAGTTTTAAAGAATTGTACTGCAATATTTTTATGTTATTTTGCAATATTCCTCCTGTTTCAAAGTATTGTAGATTTTTCTCGTATCTTATACTAACCATTGACATTCATTGGTCTGTGATACTGATGATATCAGTTGACCTAATCTAATCGACAACTTTTGCTTTTCGCAGTACGATCGGGCCAATCTAAAAAAGTTAGCGAATAGCAATGTTGTTTATTTAGTAGTTAAAAGGGCACTATTGACTGTCCTTTATAACCTACATAATAGGCCCGCAGGTTCTTTCAATTAAAAGAAATGCCTTCAGTACAAAAACAGCGCTAACGCAAAAACGTCTAAGCAATCAGCTGATTTGTCACAACCAACAATTTTGTTCCCGCATAAAAAGAAATAAAAAAATAAAATTTTTGCAAGCGGCTTATCCAGGCAAAATTTGCAAACTCTCAATAAAAGAACTCTCAAAATTTCCCTCCTGTATCGTTTTTTTTTTGCAGAACAGCCGACTTCCAGTAACAACTTGCAACAATTGTTAGAAAATGCCAATTAACAGTGTCCTTCCAAATGAAATTAATATTTTAAAGATTAAGCTGTATATAAAGGTCTACATGTTACCCTAAGACCTATATGTTATCCTTCACCACTATGCATATTTTATGTGAAGCAGATCATACCATAGTACAACAAAGATAAGGTATGCTTAGTGGGTAAGGGTTGCAAGTAGTTGTTTTGTATTAAATAGACAAAACAACGTGTTGCATTGATTTTGAATAAATAAACAAAAAATACAAAGGGGAACGGATCTATATATCTCTAAAGATTTCATTCGCCACAAAAAGTGTTGTAATTGTAATCAAAATGCTTACTACAACGTTTTTGTGATATGATTTTGAATATTTTCTAAATAAATAAATCAATTGATAGCTTCGCTCTACCTTGACTTCATTCTATGAACTATGAACCTTTTTGAATGCGTATTATGGCTTCAGAGCAGTTATAAATTGAATTCAGAGAGTTATCATTGGATATAAGCTCGAGATCGGAAAACAGCTCAATGGAAAACAAGTAAGCAAAGGCTATAGTCGTGCGGGGCCGACCATGTGACACCCTACAACACTACAATATATTAGAAGCCCCCTTATGTCCAAATCCGTTTTGGAAGATTTCGTGATTAAATGATGTAATAGAGCCGTTCCCAGATGTTACCATTAGCTTGTTGTCGGGGCGCATTTGCCCAATTTTAATGTACTCCGTGTTGTTAGGTATTCAAAACAATTTCACACGAAATGTGCTAAATATAATCAAAAATGCCCAACATTTACGGACTCCGTCGTACAGTTTACCCACTCCGCCGTGCGGATTTTACTGCACGATGGTCATCCAAATTGCTAGAATTCTTCCCTGTCCGTAACTCTCTTCTCAGGCGTGTAGATTCAATTGGCTGTTTTGGTTCATTTAAACCCCTAAATATTTTGCGATCATCTTCAAGGCAAAAGTCCCCTCTGTATCTCAAAATTTATGATTTGTTTGTCTACGATATTTGAATATATTCGTCAACGAAATCAGTATAAAAAGGCCAGAGTTCGCCTTTTCTGACATTTCGGATTTCGGACATCATCTGTAAGTAATGTTGATATTTTTTCACACAAAAGTACCACACACACAGTATCACACAAAAGTACCACCCGCTGTCCTAATTCTCTAACTTCATGCGAGATTTCATGTCCTATGGTTTCTATGTGTGACCTTTATAACGGCTGCAAAATCAGGAACATTTTTAAATGTTGATCATTTTCAACCTCTAAATATATTGCGGACATCTTTGAAAACAATAGGCCTAGCCCTTCTGAGCCTTATCCTACCCTAATGAAAATTTTCGTGAGGATCGGACGATAATTGCAATATGTATATAATAACCCCAAACTGTGTGGTGAAGTGAAAAAATATTACAAAATGTACTATTTAATATTATAAGTCATAATGAAACAAGTAAGCAAAAGCTATAGTCGTACCTTTTTTCGTGAGGATAATTGCAATCTACATATAATAACCCCAACTTGTGTTGTAAAATAAAAAATATTATCAAATGTATTCTTCAATTTTATAAGTCAAAACGAAAAAATCGCATGCGATAAAAAATAAAAAAATGTCACAAAATACTACAAAATCCATATTAACGTCATTATTGACATCTTTTTATGCGATTTTTTTAGATTTTATTATTTTACGCCAAGAGGGGATTCTGAATTTACTAAATTTGTCAAAATCGGTCCAGCAATTCTTGAGGTATAAGCATTTTAGCTAACATCTCCTTCCTTTGTATAAATGTATTGTGTATATTCCGCTATATCCGAAATATTTACTATCGGT